CTCAGAGTGTTCCTTAAATTGACACTATAGGCATATGTGTCCCAGCCCCCCTTAGTCCTGCAAGGTAAAACATTGCAGTGTTAGAGAAACTGCAATAATTACATTGCAGGACTAAGACTGATTCTAGTGACTGTATATTAGGCAGTCACTAGAGGCACTTCATGGATTGTAACTTTGACTCCGGTAAACAATGCTGGACATCCTCACACTCTGCATGAGGACATCCAGTGTCAGTGAAAACACCTTAGGAGAGCATTGAGGCAATGCTTTCATGTGGGGAGGATTTATTTGCCCTGCTCTTCATCTGGTCAAATGGATACTGCACACAGCCTGAAGGGCTGGGCTTCTCAAGTGCCAGCCCAGAGTAGATTTCTCTCACAGGCCAAGTTGACCAGATCCTGAGTAAAAGGATGGAGAACTTCTAATGTATCAGAACGCTGTCATACATTACTATGGCTATGATATGTTTCCCGGCACTAGCCAGAAGGAGCTCCAGTCCCCCCAATCACAGCCCTTATTCCCCCATCACAGCCTCTTTTTCCCACCAGCACCTTTGTGTGTCTCTTCCCCCTCTTTGTGTTCTCTTACTTTGCATGCCTACTTGCCTCCTGTTGTAGCTTTTGCCTCATGGACCATGGTAGAGGGCTTTCTTTATACCCTACCTGGTCTAACAGGATGATGCTCACTACTTCCAGCAAGTAGCTTCCTATAAGACCAGATAGGGGATAAAAAAGATACTCTACTGCAGTTGATGAGGTTACATTATATGGAGTGAGTGGCAGTACTGGGAGGTCTGTGTGCCTCCTCAGGCCTGTACCCCGGAAATTCCACTCCTTGGGTTGGTGCGTCCCAAGGCCGCCGTCTGTTTTGCCTGAGGGTAGTGCCTGCCCTACTGACAGTCAGGGAGGTGTAACAGTATTTTATTATAAAAATGCAGATTTCGAACAAACTCTACCAGCATAAAGCATTTAACCCCTTAAGGACACATGACATGTGTGACATGTCATGATTCCCTTTTAATCCAGAAGTTTGGTCCTTAAGGGGTTAAGAAAGTGCTTTATGTTTGGATACTTCTATTAACTGATATTTAGATCTTCGCAGTTCATGCGCCTTAATGCACTTAAATATTATTTCTCTCTCTTTATGGATGAAATATAAATAACAAGCAAATAAATAAGTGAGGGATTTACTTCACAATGAATTGGGTTAACAGAACACCATATTGCTTATTTTAGAAAAAATAGCCACAGAGTGAGAACATTTTTACAATTCTTCTAATAATTTATTTAAATTATTTTATTCACCCAACCCACTGTTTAATAAAAAAATAAAAAAACTCTAAATTTTATTTTATATTGTACAGAGTCAGCTTCTAAACATACATGCGTCATTAGTGAGAAAAGATATTACACATTTTAGAGTATAACATAAAAAGACATATAATAAGAGCTTAATAGTGTCACATTTATATTTAATGCAGGAGTGAGCAAAATAACATATCAACAAGGCAGTGTACTCCCTGAGTATGGCACAGCCCATCCAATCCCTTATTATATTACTCTCTTAAAGTTGTGTTTGAATGTGTTTATTCACAGCATACAGCTGAGTTACATATGTTAGTTTATCTATGTGTTCTATTACTATGAATGAGATGAGGTCCAGTTAGGTGTGCTGGTAAAGAAGAATTTAAGTTAATGCTTGCTTAGAGTTAGTATGGTTCAATAGAATGAAAACAGATTTATAAGGACAGCCTATAATAAACTATCAGGTTTTACAGCTACTTGTTTCTATGGCAGGAGTAGTCAGGCAACTATCAGCACTCCAGATGTTATAGACTACATTTCCCATAATCCTCTTACAGCCATAATGCTGGTAAAGCATCGGTGGAGATTTAGTCCACTCCAACATCTGGAGTGATGATGGTTGCCACTACTGCTCTACGTTTTTTGAGATTTCAAGAAAGGTTTGTTTTTAGTGTCAGTCTTTGGGGTGGTGTTAGTGTTAGAAGCGTTCATATTTAGCTGTTTGGCACAGACTCAAATATGTAGTTCTTTAGCCCTCAATCGAATTGGGTGGATAGAGCTGAATAGGGAGCAGTCAGATATGAATTCCCTGCCCAGTGCCTTTGTTAAGTCTTGGTTTTGAGGAGATACAGCACAGTGTAGATAGAAACATAGTAATATGATGCCCCTGAGTTCTGACTGAGGTTATTTAAAGATACTGGGCAGGGAGCTTGAAGCAATAGCTCCACATGTGCGTCCCACCATCCATTTTTATTGGTCCTTTCCAATGCAACCTCTTGGTTCCAAAGTCACCTCCTAGCAGAGTAATCCCAGACAATTATGCAAATCTCTCTGGGATTTAAGTGGTAATCTGCCTGGGATCATTAAATACTTTATGATCTCTCTTGTAATCCTGTATTTTGGACACCCAGATAAAGAGAATGGTATATGTCATTGTATACCTGATTGTGGAATGAAATATAAGTCTAATACTCTTTTGGGATAATGGGACCTCATATGTACCTCATGTTCTTTAGTTCTGTGGTGGGACTGGAAGGTTGAAATATGCTTTTCACCTCCTTTATTCAGTGGCTGAGGAATAAAGGGTAGCAGTTTGCATTCTAGTCTGTGCAACCAATTTATGAAATAACTACTTCATTCCAAGCCCTAGTATATGTTCCAGTGTGTACTCTCAGTAAATCCATAGAGCTATGAATCCCCCAACATGCCACAAATGACCAAAGAAAAGTGTGGACTTACTTGCAGGTTTCCACCCTATTGTTGATGTAGCGAAGCTCTAGTTCTGACAAGGAACTCTGAAACAAGGCGCTGTGTAGGGAATAGCTTTATCTCTCCCCAGTAACTGGACAACACACAGTTCTGCGAATACAATTGAGTTTTATTATGCCACACTCTGCCTTCTAGGCACAGACTCCCAGCATGGGGTATCCATTCAAGACAACACCAACCCCTCCCAGGCATCCCTATGTCTGGGAGATAATTGAGTCAAAGACAGATAACTCACTTACCTCTCAATTACAGGGAACCATGCATAAAATACATAAAGCATCCCAAAAATGCAATCAGAATACACAGGAAACCCACAAATATTATATCACTGAATAGCCTGGATCTGAGTGCCCAAGCTGTTTAAATAGCGCTCAGATCAATTAGGTAGAACGGAATCGCCATTTGGGTAAATTCTGAGCTCTAAAGACACAAGGAATCTTGTGATAATTGATGGCAAGATGAATGCAGCACGTTATCAGAAAATACTGGCAGACAATTTGCATTTTTCTGCGCGAATGCTGCACATGGGATGCTCTTGGACTGTCCAGCATGACATTGACCCTAAGCACAAGGCCAAGTTGACCCTCCACTGATTACAACAGAAAAGGGTGAAGGTTCTGGAGTGGCCATCACAGTCTCCTGACCTTAATATCATCGAGACACTCTGGGGAGATCTCAAACATGCGGTTCATGCATGATGACCAATGACTTTGAATGACCTGGAGGCATTTTGCCAGGACAAATGGGCAGCTATACCACCTGCAAGAATTAGGGGCCTCATGGACAACTGCATGCTGTCATTGATGCTAAAGGGGGCAATACACAGTATTAATTACTAATTTCATTATTTTCTTTGGCGCCAATGTTTTTTGCCTGCTCACTCATGTTTTTTTGTTTTTTTTAATGGTACATATATTACAAATTCTCCAAGGGTATGCAAACTTTTGAGCACAACTGTACATGCAGACATACACACGATGCAATGAACAATCAGGAGTTGGTTTTCCCTGTTTATATGTATTCCTAAGTAGATAATGATGTGACTCTGTGTGTTTGTGTGTGTGTGTATATATATATATATATACTTATGTATATGTAAGGCTAACACAACATTTTATGGATTTCCTTTGGATAGGTCATCTCAAAAGACAGCACACTCTACCTCACCTTTCTTAAGCTCTGGAGTTACAACCCTCGCCATGTAAAGTTGTGGTCAGGCAGAAGTGTTTTAACAGAGTTCCTGGCATCAACAACCTGTTTTGGAGCATAACATAATTGAGAGGCACAGTTAGTTACATAGTCATTGTTTCCTAAATCCTGTTTCTAGCAAGTAAAATTATCTGATTATGTATAATACAAATGTAATTTACTGTACTTTACTCTCTGGGATCTTTGCACTTTATCTCTCTCGCCAGTTCCCTGAAAGCTTGCTTACTACCAATACAAGTCACCAGTGGCGGCTCTAGACTTGGCGAGGCTTAGGCGAAACTCATACATGAGGCCCCCACTAACACCATTATTGGAAAAAAACAGCAGTTGACTTGTGTGTGTATAAGAAGCTGTAGATATATTGAAGGGCGGGCTTGCAGTACTGGATATAGAGAATTTAGTCTTTGTATACGTCGTTGCATTGTCTACCTGTGTGTGCCTGAGAGTGTGTGTCTGGCAGTGAGTATCTTTGTATATGTATGCATGTTTCTCTGAGCATGTGTATGTTTGTGTTACTGCCTGTGGCCTTTGGCATTAAAGGACCACTATAGTGCCAGGAAAACACTTGTTTTCCTGGCACTATAGTGCCCTGAGGGTGCCCCCACCCTCAGGGTCCCCCTCCCGCCCGGCTCTGGAAAGGGGAAAGGGTTAAAAACTTACCTTTTTCCAGCGCTGGGCGAGGAGCTCTCCTCCTTCTCTCCTCCTCCGTTCCTCCTCCTGGGCTGAATGCGCACGCGTGGCAAGAGCTGCGCGCGCATTCAGCCCGTCGCATAGGAAAGCATTTACAATGCTTTCCTATGGACGCTTGCGTGCTCTCACTGTGAAAATCACAGTGAGAAGCACGCAAGCGCCTCTAGTGGCTGTCAATGAGACAGCCACTAGAGGAATAGGGGGAAGGCTTAACCCATTCATAATTATAGCAGTTTCTCTGAAACTGCTATAATTATGAAAAAATGGGTTAACCCTAGAAGGACCTGGCACCCAGACCACTTCATTAAGCTGAAGTGGTCTGGGTGCCTAGAGTGGTCCTTTAAGTTCAAGGCGAAGCTATGCTTTATGACCGTGTGTAGAATGATTGCCTTCAGGGGGTGACAGGGTGAGTAAAGGAGTAACTGTGGCAGGGTAAGTGTAAAAAGAGCAGGAGGGTGCCAGAGTGCGGAGAGTGGTGCCCGTGTGTTTAGAGGGAGAGAGTGTGTATGGAGGGGGGTGACAGTGTGTGCGGAGAGAGGTGACAGAGTGTGTGGGGGTGACATAGTGTGAGGGGGTGGCATAGTGTGAGGGGGTGGCATAGTAAGAAGGGGTGACAGTGTGAGAGGGTTACATTAGTGTTAGGGGGGTGACAGAGTAAGAGGGGGTGACAGAGTAAAAGGGAAGAGACAGGGGGGAGACCTAGTGTGAGGGAGGGTGACATAGTGTAGGGGGGGTGACAGAGTGAGAGGAGGTGACAGTATTAGTGGGTGACAGTGTGAGGTGGGGTGATGGTGTGTGGGGAGTGACAGGGTGGGGAGTCAAAGGGTGGGTGACACAGTAAGAGGTGGGGTGATAGAGTGAGGGGGTGACAGGTGAGGTAGCAGGGTGAGAGGGGGTGACAGGTGGGGTGGCAGGGTGAGTGACAGGGTCAAATGTGGGGTGAGAGGGGAGGCAGGGTGAGGGGGTGACAGGTGGGGTGACAGTGTGACGTGGGGTGACAGTGTGTGGGGAGTGACAGGGTGAGGTGAGAGTAAGGGGGTGACAGTGTGGGAGTAACAGGGTGGGTGACAGTAAGAGGTGGGGTGAGGGGGTGACAGGTGGGGTGGCAGGGTGA